CTTCCTCAAGAAACATCCTGCAACAGAAATGTCTGTACTGCAAATGAACTAAGGGTTGTTTGTTTCCATTCCCTGCATCAGAAAAATGCAAGATGATGTAAATAATAAGACAACACACTGTAAGTGTTTGGCTTGCATAAAAAGGTTTTATTTAAGTGTGCTCATTAAAGGTGCTCTTACATACCATAACAACTAAATGTATCTTTTTTCTACCATTACAGACGTTTGAGTACAGCAATGTGAAATGTTTCCCCTCCAATGAGCAGTCATACTCCACGGATTCATGTAGTTTGAGTTGATAAAAGGCAATTCTAACAGGGCCTCTAGCATGAGTCCTTTAACAGACCAAAGCATGCTGCCTCTCGACGAGTGGTACATCTTCTGTTAAGGGACACAGCCCATTCGCTAACCTATGCCTTATAAACCCGGGAAGGGAGGGCATCCTCATTTGCTGTACTCATTCACATTTAAAAACGTGTTTGTCCCCAACAGACATGAGTCAAGCTCCAAGTGAAGCTTGATTTTTCTTCCTGCCAAGGGTCATTGCTTTCGTCGATTATTGATGGCCAGGCCATGGGTTTTGTCACTAATTAACAGACGCGTCATGCACTGGAAATGTGCTGAGCCTTTCTTCAGCTGGTATTGTGGAAATGTGGAAGCGCACCTCTTTTTCTCTGCATCCTGTAAGGTTCCCCACCAGTCAGTTGTTTTGGGGACCATTACAGAGATTACTGTTAGTCTGGGTTATGCCTGCCTGGTTTGTCACCTCTGATACCACATCAACTGGAGGCTGTGGAGCTCCCCGTGCTGCTGTCGCCCAATCGAATGTGACCTTTTTTGCAGCTGACTGCGCTTGCTTTCTAATGCTCCTTCCTCCAATGGCGGCTTTTGGATACTGGGAGAATTTCTTAAACCTCTGACATATCAAGTTACATCAAGGCATCATTTATTAAAATTAAACCCTTGTGTTGTTTGCTGGCATCGTCCGCATAACGGCATCGATTAAAATCTATCGTGTCAGGTGCCTTGTGGCAATCGGCAGAGACACTTTGCCTCACTGAAACATCTTAGGGTTTGCGGCCATGTAGCAGATCTGCCCCCGACTTATTAAAATAACGAATGTAGTCCCAACGGATCTAGACTGACTTGCTGGACGTCGGACTGAATCACAATGCTTTTCGGAGCCAACTGACTACGCCTTCATTCCTTTCGACAAAACGGGGCTCGGAGGAATGAGCATTCATGATGTCATGACGACCACACTGGGGGGCTCTGTGACTGCAGGAGGAAAGGAAAGCTAAGCATTTCCCTGCCTTCACTGCAGAACGGTACTACCTACCATACATGTACTTATTCAAAAGACTGGTACATAAATACTGGCTCCTTAAAGCTGACATTGCTGCACAACCCTGTTTGGCTTCACTCCTGCAACACATGCAACTAGAAAACGTGTTTTTTTATAAAACACATTTAAAAACATACGTAACATTTCTGTCCTTTCCAGAGACTTAAAAATTCTGCATCATAAATGAGCTGTAACATATATTCATGGAGGAAAAGTACCAGTTTATAGTCTGAAGACTGTATCATGGTCTTAATAAATTGTAAAGCCCTACTTACAACCAGATGATTAGATTAAACTGCTATGTGCTGTGTACTGTAATTGATTCTTATTTTCACTTTATTTCCTTTTTTTTATTATGTACTTAAGAAAACAGACACACCAAAGCTTATGCAATACTCAAGAAATTGATCCATAATATTAGTCATTAATTTTTGTCAATATGAGTAAACATTTAGCTATTGACATCCTTTACAGAAAGCAATCTGGGGACTGACTTTCAAAAGCTGAGAGAGATTATATGGCTTGCCTATAGCTTTCTAAACTTCTAAACTTACCTGTAGATCATAAAATTCATTGTTCCTACAAGATTGTCTTTTTTTCTGAATTCCATTATGTATTTACCATCAGAACAAACCTAAAAAACACAAGAAAGAAATCTCTAGCAATATGTCAAAGTAAATATTTGGTCATTTTATGTCAAATGTGACCATGTACATAATGCATTAGCTAGCTCCAATTACCGAGATCTCTCTGACATCTCAGTGACTGATACCTGCCACATGTTTGAAAGACTCCATTCAAGAAATGGATTTTATTATGACAGTACTGAAGTGGCCTGAAAATAAAAGTATATAATAACTGTATAAATCATTGAAAGACTAAGTCAGACTGGCACAACTGACTTATATATTGACCTATGTAGACATTCAGGGTCTCTTTTGAATATTATCAACACAGTAAAATGGGTTTGAATGGGCCTTTGTTGATACCAAAGCAACCATTCTAACTGACACGGTAGCACATAAGAATAGAATTTACTGACATCAACATCTTTGCAAATTATAGATATCACAATACAGAGGGCAATCTTTGTACAGCTTAAAAAAAGGATGGTTTACTGTAAATCTCCAACAGGTCTACACCAATACAAAGATGTTACCAATGAGTACATGAACAGCCAACTGTTCATACCACTGTAACAGCAATGTAAGTGTGTTCTGTTTAAAAGCCAGATTTAAGCAGAACATAAATGCTGATTTAAAAATAGAGAAGCTTACCTTCGCTTTAGTAAACAGTGCGCATGAAATGCTATTCTAGTTGCATATCTATATCTAACAGTGTATCTCGAAATGATTTTACTTTTTTAAGCAATAAAGACTCAACATAGTAAATAACTATCGTAATTATTGTCTTATGTCTTAGGCTAACCATAGTATAATAATAATTCCTGTCATTTTAATTGTTTTTACATTCTAAAATAGTTTTACTGACAAAACGTAGACAGAACCTTATGTTTCAGTAAATACTAAATGGCTGTTTAATAAAGACTATTGATATTTGCTTTGCTTTCTAGGGGGACGAACCACCTTAGACTTAAGATAGGGTAAAACTACAAATTTGGGGAAACAAGAGTAACCAAATAACAGAGAAACCTAATTCTAATATAGTTTAAGCATCGTGATTCACAACATGCAGCTGGCAAAGGAGTAAATTTTAAAATGGGGAAGCAATAATTCTCAAAGTCTTGCACTCCGAAAGGGAAACGCACATTTGAAAATAAAGCATGATAAAAACGTTTAATCGATTTTATTATACTTTTTTTTTTTTTACCAAGCGTGGATCACCAATAGCTTACACATGAACCTGCACCGCCTGGATTTAAAAGTACTCGAGTCTGCGTTCTTTAGATCGCAGTACCGTACATTAAAAACTGTGTGTGTCTGTATTGCTGGAACCTATAAAATAATACTTAGCAAAAGAAGGTTTGTATTGTTAGCCCAAAGTAAACGGCGTGCCTTCGCCGTGCAAACATGAGCCGTTTTCAAAAACATCCTTCCTTGAAGACCTGCTGTATAAATGAAGTAACTGTGAAACCTGGCATGGAACCCCCACACCTCAATATTCTTCTCGGGGCATTCTGGATTTCCCAAGAAGCCATCGAGTCCACAGAAGTTTAAGCCACTCCTACATGACCTTTGCCTATTGTGGGCAGAATTAATTCAGCCAATCAGAAAAAAAAATCGAATTCTCCTAAATCTTATCTAATTTAGGTGAGCTGTTTAAATCTTTTGCATTGATATCGAGGCAACGGATTGAGTAAAAGTAGTTCGTACTGTATGGTCTGTGCAGGTGATACGTGATTATATATGCTACGGAACACACGATTAAAGCCCATTTATACTTAGTTATAAAGCTTTGCTTTAACCCACCCTAATAAAGTGGAAGTTTTACATTTTTAATTATTGTTTAACCATTTTTCTTTTGTGATTTAATGATTTGCTACGGTGAGCGCAAATATACTGTATGATACTGGCTATTTACTAGATGCGGCTTGTTTTACTACTCAGTTATTACACCTTTGCCCTTGACTAAGTGCACCACTGAACTCAAAGCAAAACGATTTACAAATACCCACTGAGTAATCTCAATTTATTTTTCTTAAGCTTTTTCTATAGCATCTGAAAAGCTTTAACACCACTTAAGGAAGATATCATTTGTCATACTATTATTATGGAAATGGACGAGTTACCAATAGGAAGATCTGTATTAGCCAGAATTTAATTATTTTCTTTCAGTGCTATATGCTTCCGTTTGTTTTTGCATGACTAATGTACATTGCCTAATTTTGTTTTCTTGGAGTCTTAAAGTAAGTGATTTATTTCTGCAAAACAATGCGGTTTTTAATGAAAACCATCTCCCAGTTACTCCAGTCGTCAGTGAAAGAAATTACAACTTTAGTTATTCCTCTTAGCAGAACTCTACAGACAGAAACTATTAGGACTATTTAGGAGCCAGTAGTAGTGTTTTTCGAATTAGCATAAAAGTGGAGACAGGCGTTGGAATTGGTTTAATAATAGGAGACAGGTCAGTTGTTCCCCAGGGCTGTTTCTGCACTCTTAGCTTTAGCAAAATCTTGGATGAGAAGGTAGTTGTAGACACCGGGGAAAGAATACTTCATTATTGCCCATCATTAGTTATGAGCATGGTTGTTCGCAATACCGTCGGTACTTCACTCTTTTGTGAAGCAACTTTGGCAACTACTTAGGAGCAAGTCTTTCATCCAGGATAAAACAGAAAACGGAAGCAATGATTATTGTATATATTATTCCCTCTGTAACAATAACACGATTCCGTTCAATATTCAGGCACTTTCCATTAGAAATTACTTTGGAAAAAAGTATAGTGCAAAGAGTTTGAAAGTTGCAGCTACCACAGTTAATCATATCATAATGAGCATTTTTCTTTAATACATTGAAGACAGTCTTTTTTATGATGCCTTGGTCTTCAAATATTCAGACCCGTTGTATCCTTAATTGTGTGATGTCATAAGACGAATAATTTACCTAAATAGCGTGGTTTTAGATAAGACACAACGCGTATACATGAAAACGTCAACTTTGCAGTATCCGAGAAATTCAGACAACTCAGCTTCAGGCATACATTTGGTTTTTAATTATAAAGACATATAAACAGTATAGGAAACTCCGTGTTGAAACACAAGTAATTTTTAAAACCAAGACCTTATATTCCATATCTTTCATTAAGAAGTTTCGCACAGATGTACAGTACAATCAAGTGAATTGTGCAATAACAAAGTCAAACATGTTCCATACAGCTTTAATATATTACATAATATATTTGATTGTTTCACATAGTATTTACTGTTTTCAGGAGATATTTCATTAAAATCGGTACTACCGAATGACACACCTCGAGTATTGATAGCTGGACAGTACTTACAATATATTATGCTTCACATTAGTTCGATACCATGTAAGGATGTTGCATAGTTCACAAGTCGTTTACTTAACATGTCTTAGTTTGTGTGAGAAACTATAAGTTCTAATGGAACCCACTCAAAGTTTTCTTACTTTCTTGTCGAAAATATATTTATAAAAAATAAAACAACAAATGTCATTTCATTTTGATTTAGACATGAGCAAATAGCGCGCTTAATACTTTAAAAGTAAATGGAAACGCATAAAGCATCACAGCAAAATTATTTTCAAACGGTAAGCACAGATGCAAGATTCGACGCGTTCTGGATGCTCGTCCCCCAAATTAGCCTAGACTTCACTAAGGAAAGATATTTTGATTCTCGTTTTGCAAATCAGGTAGAAACATTGCAACAGTTGTTTAAAGAGAGTTTAGGATTACGTATTAGAATAAAGTCCTTTCCCCCCACCCCCGACAGAAGAATACAAATAATTAGAAAGACTAACAGACGGATGTCTTTACATGAGCGTGTGTATAAAGACAAATGACATCAAGGTTTGTCGTTGCAGTGTTTGAAGAGACTTGAAGGTGTTCCACCGTAAGAAGTGCATTTCTCGGCACAGGTGGCCAGAGCTGTACCTGAAAAGGGGTATACGGCCGCTTGTCCGAACGGGGCCAGAGCTGCTGGAATGGGAGAAGTTAGCGTCTGTCCCTGATTCAAATAAGCCACCAATCTTCTCATTTCCTCCAATGCCTGCGCTTGCATGAGGATGTAGTTCTTCGCCAGCAATAAAGTAGCGATTTTGGAGAGTTTCCTTACTGATGGACTGTGGGCATAAGGAATCACGGCCCTAAGACCATCCAAAGCGTCGTTCAGGTCATGCATCCGCCTTCTCTCTCTCGCGTTTATGCTGAGCCGGAGCGATCTCTGCTCCTTTGGCTTTTTGGTGAGCGAACTCGAATGTTTATCCTCGTCAAACGCGGAGCTTCGTTTCCTGGGGTCCAGGTGGTCGAAACTGTCGTCGTCGTCGCTCGTCTGCTCCCCGCCGCTCTCGGTAGACTTCGCTGTCTGACCTGAGAGGAAGTCCGAAGCGCCTGACATAGGATAGCGCCCGGGACTTCCAGCACCATGGCCAGCGCCGAAGCTAAAAGCGGCTTGACCGTAGCGCTGAGTGAGATCAATTAGCGTTTCATTGCCGATTGACTTCAAGTCATTCATTCTTTTATCTGACCCATGGAAAATATTTTCTTCTCCAACGTTCATTTTTTAATATAAATCCGGTGAATTAAAACTTTTTTTCCTCTCTTCTCCGCAGGCTTGCCTTCTTTCTTGATTTTGTTTTTTCTCAGTCGGGGGTGCGAAATCAAATCGCCTTCTTTCTTTTTTTTCCCCCTATTAAACCCTCTTATGTACAATGGCTTTAAAAACTATCCAGGGCGCTTCAGAGAAACTAAACGTGTTTCCTCTTGACGGATGTTCACAGTGCGTCTTGCCCTAGCCCTGGGCAGGTTGTGACTCATCTTCCGTCGTACTTGCACGTTAGTACGAAAGTATAGCCCACTGGGATTAACTATCCATCCAATCAGGGAGGCGTTTTAATTAATAGGATTAAAGCCTTTTAAATTCAGGGGGGGAACAAACCACTTCTTGAGCCAGTATGCTTCTAATTTCACCAATAGTGGTGATAATTGCCGTTCAAGCGAGTAAATATGGTAAGATTATACTTATAACACGGTAGTACTGCTGGAGCTGAGACACTACAGTTTAAATACTACATTGGAAGATGAATCCTCGTTTTTGATTTGAGCTATTCTACGACATTTACTTTATCCACTACTTGTATACAAATTCAAATACAGAAAACATCGTGTTTGCGAAATAAGCTTTTTGAAAACTAATTTCTATTGCGGTACTTACAACACAGAAATGAATACTTTTATAACTAAAGTACTGCATATTTTTCAGATGAGCAAAATGTTTTTCTCTGCTAATATGCAATTTCTATTATCCTCCAAAACGAAATAATATGTAAATATAAACCATCACATTATAACTTTATTATTATTACACATTATTATTTTTACAGGTTTTGCTTTTGAAGGATTGTTAGGCACAATTCATTGAAATGGATATACTTGACTTTTTTGAGAGATGAAAATTGTAAGAGATCAGATAGAACGTAAGGAAAAGATATGTTAACGCCTAATACAGCAATCAGATAAGAGGAACACAGTCTATTTAAAACCAAAGTGGTGAGATTTTGGAGTTTTTGTCTACAGTACCTATCGGACGACGCCACCCAGTGACAGAATAAGGTATAAAGATCAGTAGAACTATTTCATACTAAACTTCTCTTAGATACCTTTTGCTTCTCGTTTTCTCCTCATCTTCTTATTATTCAATTTACCAGCAACAGCAATACAGGAAAAGACATATAAAAAGGACCCACAATAAACAGTATCTAAAATATTTTAGACTACAAAACAAATCTGAAATATTGTGTAAGTAACATTAATAGGATTCTAACTCAGTGTTTTACATTTTTGTAGGGAACATCGTATGAATATGTATGATTAATGCAAACGTTTTGTAAAAATACAAAAGTTAACATATAGCTGTCAGTTTAAAACTATTATAATTGCTCAATACACGTAGGGATCAATCAGTTCCACTCCGATGAATTATTTACACTTCAATGAATAGAATGAAGTTTATATTGGAAAACAATATAGTTTAGATAGTTTAGATTTTGTCTCTATGTTAATAAGTGGATGTAGTCTACGTTGTAAAGAATTGCATCCGGTTGGATAAAGAAGCCTAGCAGCGTGTCTTACAAAGTATGTGCAGCAGGAATCCACGCTGTGTAGAATTAATCATATTACCTGGAAAGGGGCCGAGGCGAAGCCTTAGAGATATGGAGCCCAAGGCTTTTTTGCCACATTAGTAGTGTTAACACAAGTGCTTTGAATCCGCATTAATGTCGTCGTCAATAATTATGGTGTACATGAGTTGTGTGAAAAGTACCAATAATATAAATTATTCTGCGCTCACAGATTTATACACACATAAGTTAATAAGCCCAAGGGCTCAATTTCTTTCTTTTAACAGCCTATTTAAATGTGCGAAAAATGCAAACATCAGTTCATCTTCTAGGAGAAAACTGGACCTATATCATTTATCATGTTAGAGCTGCGTAGACTGATTTCACGTTGATGAAAGAACTGAACAGTGTTTAATTAATTTTAATTCAAAATACCGGAATAACTTTTCAAAGGTCAAATCTGCTCTTTTAATCAAACTATCTATTTTTTTTTTTGCCTTCCTCATACTGACATTAAACACCTTTACGCTTTGCTGTTGGGTGACCTACTGCAGTGGCATGGCGGTAGACTCGCAGTTCACGGACTTGTTCGCCTGTCTACGAGGCGCTTGCATGTTCTCTCAGATTCCCCCCCAGCCACCACCATCGCAGAAAAACCCGCTGGGTTTGATTGTCTCTGCTAAATGGCCTCTCTTCGTGTCCTTGTGAGGAACTGGCGTCCCGCACACGGATAGGGCAGGACCGTGTTTACTGTCTCTTGCGCCCAAGGGGGACTAGGTGTCTGAACTGAATTAGCTGGTACATTCCATGTGTTAACCAACTGTTAGCCTAGCTGGTACAATCTATGTGTTAACTTTCCTGGAAGCGTCTTGAACTACGCTTTTAATAGAGTAGTTTCAGTTTATGTCCCTTTTGAAGTAGTGACTGAAAAAAAAAAACAAGTGTCCAGTGGTCACTGGTAGTAACAAATTATATCATAATATAGAAAAAGGATTGTATAAAGCAATTATTATGTAGCTAAAGTTTAAGGACGATTTAATCGGCCTTTAATAATTATTTACTGCTTTATTCTATTATTTATTATTAGACCGTCTTTCGGATGAGACGTTAAACCGAGGTCCTGACTCTCAGTGGTTATTTAAGATCCTAGGACATTTCTCGAAAAGAGAAGGGCCACATTTCCCCTCTCGGCCTTTACAGTGGCATCCAAATTGTCCCCATGCATTCATTAAAAGTGTAGAATAAGGAGATGCGAAAGAAGGTTAGCTCTTCATCCATTTACCAGAATAGCCACTCATCACTAGAGGACTCCCGACATCTTGCGGTCACTGACAGACTTGCACTACGTTTTTTTAAAGGATGTACCTCTCAATATGCCAGCACCGCAAAAGGCTGTGCTGGAACCTGACTTCTCAACCTGGAGAGTTACTGCAGTTTCTGATTTTCGTTCTACCTGAGTTTTTACTGGCTTTATTGAATCACGTATTGACACTCGCTGACTTTTAAATATTGACTTCAAGCCTTCAGTCATTGAGGAGTGTGTGTTCCGTATCAAACCTACAGGAACAAGAAATAGGATCACTAATACGGTTGTATTTATGGGAGATTATTCTAATTAATAATTAGATTACAATGCTTGAATCCCGCATTACCTAACTACAATAAAGATTAAATCTGTTTAGGTTTGACATTCTTTCCTTTTATTTCCCTCATTAAGTAAGTATAGACATGTTTAATTAATGATGACGTGTAGTGACGATACCAACAACAGCAGCATCAGCACGTGTGACATCAATGACACGAAATAGAAACAGTACTGTTTTTAAACGGACTAAAATCACACCTAAACTCCACTTTATGCATGATATACATCGTTTTTAGGACTGTGGTGAAAATGCAGTAATTATAGGAAAACTATTGCAATAAAGAGCATAAATAATTAAGCATTCTTTACATGACTGATCAACGCATTTACAAAAAAAAAAACATTTTGCTCCATTCTACTCCTTCTGAGTATAGCTCAGTTTTTTGTGAGTGAAGACATTAAATTCCGCTTTTCTCGTCCCCTATTTTTCATTACTTTGGTATGATGAGTGATATTACATTTTTAATTCTTAAAATTTCTCAGAAGGTGGCAGCGTTGCTCAACAAAGAACCATAATGCTTTCGTGCATTCCGCCTTCACGAACGCGAAACGTACTGGATGAAACGGCACATTCGCAAAATAAGCCTGACTTATTTATAAACTTTTTACTACTGTTGGGTAAAACATCTTGTTTAGTGTGGATTGATTTTATTATAATAAATAGATTAAAGAAACTGAGGTATGGGAATAATGAGACAAGAGTGTGCATTTATGCCTAGAATTGAGAAAGATGCAAACCAATAGAATAGGTAACCCCCACAATTTAAAATTCACTATATCCGAGGCCTGTACATTGGTACACTCTTACAGAAACCAAGCTCCTGTGGCCTTGCCTTGATTGTTTCAAAGAATGATCTTAGCCTATTTCCCCGCATATCCTCTAAACACACCTAGGATCAGGCTGCAATATAATTATCCTATTTCAACTTAGAAAGTTTTTGCTTTCTAAACTTTATCCCATTTTACATTTACATGCTTTGCACTAACCTGCAACGGTGAAATTTATTCTGGTATTAAGACACAAATTCTAATGCATCCCCCCTATAGTTTTACTTTGGTTTGCCATTTCCAAAATGCATGTGTACTTGGAATGAGTATTATTATGCAATGAGGCAGAGACTCAGTCTCCCATTACTTCAAGATCCATGGCTTGTAAATGTAAAAGTACAACGCTGCATGCTTTGGTTGCAGAGTGCTTAAAAGGACACTAAACAGAAGGTGTGTTGACTGAAACAGAAGAAAAGTGAATGAGCAGCCTGCAGCAGCTACATTTCTTATCCAGGTTAATACAGTTCACCAGAGCTCTCCAGTTACCATATGTGAACAAGCAGAGCAGTTGATGTTATTGCCCTGAGATGTGTACATATGCACCAAACAAGTAAATAGAAATGGCAGAGATCACAACACAGAGCGCTCCTAATTTATATCAGTCTGCCACTTTACAGCTTCAAGGTTTCTTGTTTTCTCCACCCAAAAGGTCATTTGTCTCTCCTAGGCTTTCTGCTACATCCTTTCTAGGGCAAAGATCTGGGAATGAACCAAAATTCTCCCCATTTCTATCTGTGCATCATCAACACATGACAAGGTTAGGGGAAAGAAAATCCAAACATGGATCAAATTCTACTTACCGAAGCTGTAGCTTGGCTTTTATCATAAGAATCCTCTGTTTTGTTTTAGACTTACATATCATATACCTATCTATTCAGCATTTTTAGTTAAAACTTAATAACAAATAAAAATGCAGAATTGCAGATTTCTGAAATATTGTCATTAGTAATTGCTTTGCTTTTCTTCATGTACAAAGAAAGTTCTAGAAAATTATTCAGAACGCAGCATTCTGGGGTTGTTCGGCAAAATGTCAAGGATTTTTACCTATAAATGAACATTGCTCTTTAATAAAATCCAGTTTGTATGAATGCATATGTGGTAGGCTGTACTAGGCTTTTACAAAAAGTGTCTTTTGTTATTTCCATTGGGCACTTCCAGTGCTTTTCAAACACGGCCTCAAAATTTCCACTCAGTTTCTTTTTTACATGATCAACGAACTGCTCTTT